GTAAACGAAGCACTTAAGATAGTAGTTCTCCCCGTACGAATCATTCAGTGATGACCATTGATGTAAATTCTTCTTAAACCTTGACGGAGAAGTCACGATATCATGATGTCTTGCTTTTTCCCAACAAGTCGTTAACTGAAGTTGACTATACAAATGGATGCGATTATAAAAATGATGTGAAAGGAAATAATGACAGAATCCAATAGCAAAAGAAAAGGTAGGTTTTAAATTAGCTTTATTCCATGCATATTTGATTCGTACCTATGTGAGTTGCTTCTTCTCTAGTCTTATACGCAAAACTACGGCATGGATTCTTTGTTTCAGGACTTTTCAGACGTCCATGTTCTTCTGCCTCATACTGTTGTCTTCTAGTGAACAGCTAAAGGATAGCTATGCTTCTGGCACGAGTCAAACCAGGGAGCAGTTTCGAACTCCCAACTAATCATTCTATACTATTTTACATTACACAGCTGTTCTTTATTCACTGGTCGGTCTTCAATCTTTCTTTTCGCGAATTTTGCTTTATTGTTGTAATAATAAACGATTGACCAGCCCCGGACGCACGAAGCCTCTAATCCCTCTGAGTTCATGAAAATGGTACTAAACTTGTCTGCGAACAGTCCACTTTTCAGAACCCGAGTGGAAACACACTAGCCCGGCTATCTCAGATGTACGGAGTTAATCGGCTTGACCAGCATTCATCAATACTTGTAAGGAAGTCGATAATTTTCATGTGGCAGACGAACCTACATGCGAAGAGTTTCAAGACCTCTGTGGGATGATGTATGCGCGGAAATGAACAGAGTACAAGATGATCTGGGATCCGCCCAGCAGATATGAAGATGGAAAAAACATGAATGATTCGTTTGTCTGCATTACACTGGTGACACACGCCATATCTGCTTCTTTAATGGGATAAAATTGCGGCAAATATCGCTGATCCAGAGAATAGACGTTTTTTGCCTATAACAGTGAAGCTATTTGCTTTCTTTCAGATTTCTCAGAGTTCTCAAGTGCTTTCTGCATTTTTCTACCGAATTCAACGAGTATCAGACAGTAAATTCATCAATTATGGGGCTAATCATTCATGAGGGCATGGAGAGATGTGAGGAATTCTAAATTCCGGAATTCCGATGAGCTGAAACTCATTGAAAAATCATTTCCACATGGTTACTTGGGGTCCCTTACGAAACATTCGGTCTTGAAATATGTAACATCCAGCGTAGTTTTTCTTTCTGGTCAATGAAATTCTTTATTTGTATTTCTTCCAAATATCGCTTCTGACCTGAGATCTTGCTCTTAGATTGCCTTGTAGTAGATTGCTCAGTTGTTTTAGCGAATACTGTATTGTACAGTATCCATGTCAGCTTAGTCAGATTGTTTTCGCAAAACGAAGGTTGCTGACTTTTCTGAGTGATGATTTTCACATCCACGACCTTGTGCCTCGTTTCCAATGCATGCATTTCGACGCAGATTGAGAGCTGTCCATTTGGCTAAGTTATTTTAGAAGAAGTTTTTTATGATAATTTTTGCATTGTGCAATTTGCAAAAAAACTTCTTCTTGGATGAGATTTTTCGTCCGACAGCGCACGTTACGGTTTTTGTACCGCCGAGACTCCACAAATGAGGGAACAGTTGATGTTTGACAATTCGATGTTTTTCTCCAATAAGCAGAAACGAGGTTGTTATTATAGGATTTATTAGAATACAATAGCTGACGTTTCGGCGGTTTCTCCCTCTTCAAAGCCCCGAAAGGTCAAATTGAGATGTGATCTACCCAGCCAAACACTTTCATAATCCCAGCAGATAAAACTTAACAAATAAATTTGTATTCGCATAGGAAACAGCTTTATTCAAACACCTACCGTTCATTCGTTGTAAGTATTTAGATTAGTTGATGGATAGCAGCCGCACAGAATAATACATGGGCGATAACTGTGTCTGCGTCAGGTCAGTGGATTAGCCTAAGGTATGGCGCCAGGTCACGCGTGATGACAAGACACTTCGCGGATCCTCTTTGAATCTTTGCAATTGATCCAAAACGCTTCAAGAGTTTTACGCGCCGATGTTTTCGATTCCTGCGTGAGGATAGTGACTCCCACTTCAAAATCTTCTCTGTTGTGTTCCTGCATCCTATGCGCGACTCAATCTCAACAACCTCGTGTCTGCTTATTGAAGAAAAACATCGAATTATCAATCAATGCCGAGGTTAACAGGAAGTCGGTCATGAGAGCTGATGTTTGTTTTTCTTGGGAAATACAGCAGACCGCGAGCATTGGCTCCAATGCAGGATGTGTGCGACGAAATATTGGACACAACGGCTTTCTTTTGCAAGGCGTTTGGCATATTCAGTCAACTCTGAGTGCTTGTTAGACGTTGAAACTTTGGGTAGATGTACCATGGAAGTTTCTTACTTCTAATTTTCCGTTTCTACTGTGAATAATGCCGTAATGAGGTTTCATGAGAGGAAACTTGGTGTTAAAAAATATGAGGCAAAAAACTAATAAATAGTTCAAGCGTGGATGATTACATTGCCGAAAAAAAGTCTGGTGCTTGCACAGCAGAAAATTGGACGTTTCGTGTTGAACAACCTCTAGCGGGAAGTGTTTAGAATTTGTATGAATATTGTAAAATCTCGTCCAACATTCGCCACGGTGTTGTTCGCCCTATCCTGTTTGCTGAAGAGACAATCTGCTTCATCATGGAGTGATTCTCAATGATGATAACCTGTGGAGTCGATGGTACTACTGCTAAAGACCACCATCCACGTCCCATCACGGATGCATGCAATTTGGGTGATGATTCGAAGCTGCGAATATTCGACAACTCGAAGCGGATCATTTTGATTAGGAGGAAATTGGGCTGAGATATTATCAATGACTACGTTGTTGATTGCATGAAAAGTAGTCAACTCCTAGAAAAACAAGCAAAACAAGGAAAAGTGTGGAAACTCGTTTTGCTTGTTAGTCAATATAGAATAATTTAGAACAAGATTATTGCCGGGATGCACGGTGTTTTGATAGACTGCTTGTTTACCTCAGTCACAAACAAACACGTGCATGTGAATTAGGACAGCATTTTTGATTGATGAACTGGGAGAAGTACTCGCTCTTGGGCATGGTCCGTCTTCACGAATCGCATGGACCATATTGGAGAATCGATTAGTGTTTTTTCACGCAGTGCCAAAACAGTAGTGCTATGGTTTTCTTGGGTTATAACATAAGTGGGTGTTGACATTTGTGAGTCAGATACAGGTTTACTAACTGCCGACTGAGCCTCAGGTACGATCGCAGCATTTTTATACTTCTAGCCGAGCATGGAATTGAAGGGTTTCTCGCCTTAAACTGCATTCACTTCCGAAACGATGAGGTCGCAATAAACAATTGAAAAATTGATAGAAGTTAGAAGTGAAAGTGGGAGAGCGTGTAGGGCAGTGGTTGGAAATGCTATGTAATATACACATAGTTATTGAGTTCAATTTCGCCACATTGGCAGGCGATGCATTCGATCCTTGCAGTGTCGATAGGTTGAAACCAGACGGACCTGGAAGTGTGAAAAAGCCGACTTGATATATAAATGGATGTGGAGCTCTTCAATTCATTGGAAGGGTCGAATATGCGTTGAGTCACCTCTACGATGCTTATTGAAGTCGAATGTATCTTTGGCGCATCCTTAAGCGCTTAGTCAACGCCGACCACTTTACCTTATATTCTCATTACTGAAGGGGTCGATTCAAAGAATAGTCGACTCGACTAGCATTCATGCACACTTCCAAAGAGAAGCAAAGATCTCAAAACAGCAGTTGAAGTAAAAAGCGAATCGGAAGACTTTTGTAGATGATGGCTGAGACTAAACGAATAGTATCAAATGCAGCAAGTGCCGGGATATGCACAACGCATGATGTCGGGACGTGTAAAAAAGTGTATTATATATTATATTTTTATAATTATAGTATGTAATGTGAACGAGTCGACTATCTCAGTGACTCGCTAGCCAAAGCCTCTCAATGTGTTCCCTCCGGGACCTCACCCTCGTCGGCCAGAAGTCTCCCATGCTGATCACATGCGTCGAGATGAAGACGACGAGCCTGTGTGGGCGGGCCCCAGCAGGGTCAACCTCCACCACGTCACTCCCCGCCTTTCCCACATCGTCCAGAGCGCACTGGAATACTCGGAATGCCAACGCTCCACTGTCTCGAGTATTCCGAAACGTCAGCTAAACCGCAAAAAGAACTTCATTTCCCATTCGCCAGTGTTTTATTGAAGTACCATTGAAGACCGAGATGATCTGAATATTCTCGGATCCTTGGCTTTCTTTTCGCTTAGTTTTAATCATTGTAATCACTTGCTACACTGGTTCTGCCTAGATGAAATCATGAACCCATGAAATCATAATCAAATCGTAAAGCATCATGAAATCATCATCTTTATTCGAAGCTATTCTTAGCGGTTATTTTATATGCTAACATTTACAACATAAAAGTAAAAAGCGTGACTAATGCTTCTTGTCATTCTACCACGATTTGCAATGAATCTCAAAGACAATCTTCAATATGAAAGTTTTTAAATGCTCGCTCAATCTACGGTTTCTTTCTAAATCTGTTATCTATGTGTAGGTCGAGTTTCCCGATGCAATTTTAGCGCCAAAATAAAGCTGTCATTCTAGCGTGAGCGCATTTTCAGTCTGTGGATTTATTTTATGGAAGAAGGGGAGTTTAAAAAATGGGTAAAATTTGAATGCGGAAGATGTTTTTGTCGAAGCTGAAAACAGTAGAAAAGTAAAGAGAGGACGTTGATAAGTTGGTAGAAACATTTAAGTGGTTTCTTTACCGAACCGTGCTCTGCTGATGTCCAGTGCATTTTTTGCTTCATGCATATCTCACACGGATCAAAAATTCTGGCCATTTTATTTTCTTGATTCTCGTGATTAACGATAAAGCGCGGTGTTAGCTTGTTCTAACCGACCAGGTGTCGTCAACTTGGTTAGCGTTTCGTGTTCGGATCCATCCGGCTACTATGGGAAAAGTGCTGACGTTCAGTCGATGAGTTTGACGTTTGCAGTTTCGATGTGAGATGGATGTTCGGGAGTTCATCGTATGCGTCTTCGTTCTCTGTTCGACGGTGGCTGAGGCAATTCGCTGCAAATGCACCAAGGAGTCGGAGAGCGTCTCCTGTGTGGACGGTGTGTGTGAAATCGAATCGGGTTGTAAGTTTCCCTTTTGTTCTGTTCTCCACATCATCCTCAGTTTCTGTCTTCACTTCAGTAATCACATTAGAACGACTACAACTAAAACCATTAAAAGTTGAAAACGACCAGTGTGAAAAAGTACTGTTTAGGTAGAAACAAGCGAAATAGCAGTTTTTGGATAATAACCACTGAAAATGCTTCTATATCGTGTTAAGAGTTGACTGAAAAGTTTGCCAACTCTCTCAGGAGGGTGCCGAACTCGAGTTTAACGTAATGATTCATTTCTTCTCACATCGTTCGTTGTTCTGTGAAGATTCCGATAAGCTTCATAGTTTCTCACCGAAAGCGAGTAGAAAAGAACAGCTTCACATTATACTTGATTACACTACATTACATTTTCTGAGAAAAACAATCGGTTTCGTTACCGTAATCAAGAAGGTCTTCACAAATCAGCATGAAAATGTTTGTACGAATACAAATGTCCGCAGGAGTGATTGCTTCGGTTCCGTTCTCATCACTGGCTTGATTGAAACACGAAGGCGTTTCTTATAGACGTATAGGAAACAGCTGCCAGCAACATGCGTTGTTTCATCACCTCATTAGCGTCTCGTTTTTCGTCTGATCCCATGCCTCCAGCGGATTCTTTGTATAGATTCGCTCTGCTTAACTACTTATAGCGTTGCAGACTCGGCCACAGAGTTCTCAGAGAGACGTGAATGTTTGTGCGTTGACTCAGCCACTACTCATCGACGTCCAAATATGGCGCCCGTGTGCTGCACTCAAATCTCCGAACTAGTTTTCAAACTGGTTTATGCACTATTTCCAAACACATTCTCGAGTAATGCGAAGCGTTTTTTATTTTGTCAAAGGCGACTTCGCGATGGAGAACGCTGCTATTACGTGACAAATGACGACCGTTTAGGTGTTGGCCTCCGAACGACTTGTTCACTGCGAAATCCGAAAAGTATAAATGACGTAAATCGTTCACTTTTTCCCTTTACTTTGAAAATTCTGTTTGTCATCGAGTTAAATAAGAAACGAGATGAAACAAGATCTCTGCTGGTCTCTTTCACAAAATCGTTAAAAATTTCAACGGAAGCATATTTGTTTCCCGTAATACTGGTAGATTGCAATTTTTGCCTTTGCGCACAGAAATAAGCCATGTGCAATAATAATAAATCCAGGCATGTAAGTCTATACGGAAATTGGAGGAAGAAAAATGACAAGATTAAAAGAGGTGGGAAGGAGACGTCCAAAAATGAAGGAAAAAACCCCCGAATCCACACCGGAAAGAAGCTTATTCGGTCAAATGAATGCGTTTTACGTATTTCAGCTGACTCTAAGTGATAGAATTCGGAACGTCCATACGGCTTCAGGCTTCTCGGTATTTTAGTGAGATGAAAAGCTTTCAAGACCAATAGGAAAAAAAACTACCAATCCCGGACAGTAGTAATCGCTTCATCATAAAAGCTTCTCAAACTCGCCATTTTCCGATTTTATAGATAATCCGTTTGGTCGCCATTTCCAACCGAGCATTCTTCATCAGTCCTACTGAGTCCGACTGAGTCCAACTTGGCGTGGCGACTGTTCTGCGTAATAAATATGATCGCTCCACATTTTCCGCTTGAGAGCTTTTGTTTCAAAGCGCTTTGCTGCAATGAGGAAGGCAATAGTCGTGGGCTGCAAAAATCACTCAAAATTTACAACCTGAAAAATGTTTCTGTTAGTAGAGTTCGATAGTTCTTGTTTAAATGGCCGATAAGCTTCGGTCTCCGAGCACGTTCGAGTACTTCAACTTTTCCAACGTTCCATCTGCTCACAATAAATTGTCTGCTGTTAATTACATTGAACCAAAACTGTCATTAGTGCTTCGTGACGATTGGATTTGGCTGGACTTTACCTCACAACAGAAGGTAGCATTGGTTCCGGAAGCAGTTCATACGTGAACGCGCGGGCTTTCACCATTCCATCCATTTACGGAAGTGCATTTGGTAGTTCCGGCGAGTCTATGAGGTGAATGGGTGCTATCGGAAGTCGATGGTGGAATCCGATGCAACAAAGGCGCGTCGAAACCGTGCCAACCGGTTTTTTTCTGTCAAAGTTCAGCACGATTTTAAACGTTGTGGGAGATCCTACTTTGTTTTGATATTTGAATACTGACCACATATGAACAACAACGCGGTATTACATTTAGGGAAAAAAGTTGCTGCGCCAGTAATCCTCTACGCCTTTTCAGTATACACTTTAATCCCAGTGACAATAGGTTGAGTGAGATCTAACATCATCTTTAGTCTGACCTTTGGGAGTCTATTCGTTAGTTGATGACGGCTAGTCTACTTGCACATGGCGTTTGTTTATGTAGTTCTGACCTTTACTGACCTTCATAACCCTTCATCCGCATACAGCGACAAATTGTCATTCTATAACTGCACTATCCGAATTGATCCGAATTTGTACATCTAGGCAAGATACTGGTACAATTTTAAGCCTAAAAACGGCACTATTTCGGTTTCAGTCGAAAGTTTATTGTTTAATTACAAAATTGTAGCATATTATAATACACAGGTTTCTGACATGGGTAGCGCAGTCGCTCGAAGGTTGATATAATGATTCTTGGCTCTATTCCACGCCCAGGTTAGCCAAGGCCTTCATTTGTCGAGGGTTGGCAAACTTGTACCAGACATGTCGTGGGCTCTGCAAGTCATTGTTTTGGATGCATTCACTCATCTCTACGATGCTTAATAAAATCGATTACGTTGCGTAACCTTCAAGGATTCATCAAAGTTTAACAGTATCCTTTGTGCTACATTCCATTTTCTCATGATTACTTATGAGGTTTCATTTCTGAGTTAAGATGAGTGAAATGTTGTAAAGGTGGTTTTTTCCTTACCAGTTTAACGAACTCGATTTTCTGCCTAGTATTTCTTGGAGTAGGAATAGCGGCAACAAAAGTACCTTTCAAATCAGTCAATCAAGGTGAGAAATCTGTGTTTGGAACCAATAAACACAATTTGGCTTCCAGAAGGGGTCTGAATGTGTTGAAAAACATTAGATGATGATTGATGATGTAAAATTAGATGATTTACCATGATCATTCAACTTTGAAGCAAAGATGAAACACAATTTATCGGATGCTACTGTTCCTTTTTCGATTTTGGAAACAACACGAATGCCTCATTGAGTTTCTCTTTTGAGTTAACTTCTCGACTTCTATTCTCCTACTGTTCTTGGGTGGATCGGAATCGAGAAAGGAGATGTGAATTGTGCCTGATTCGTGGTTCCCAGGCTTACGCCTAATCCCCACCGACGGTGTGTGGGCTGCTGGCGGCGTCAAGCTGGGCGCTAAATAAATGCGGTCCATTAGGGAGGGCCGACCCTTTCCAATGCAATGACTTCTCCACGATTTCGGCTCAACGAGCACGGCTGAAGGATTTACGGCATAATAATGGGATCAGTTAATGATTCTTAGAAATAACATCCGTATTACTTTGGATGGAAACCATTCCAACTAGCCTTTTCCAAGTCACAATAACTACGGTTTTCGCATAAAACACCGGCAAACTATGTTGTGGATTATTTAGATCTATGGGATTTCCTTTATTCATGTGAAACACATGGCTGTTCAAGCTTCTTAAGAAGTTTTTGTGGTAGCAGTAACTTAACGTGCAGTTGAAGAGAGGCGGAACAAGAGAGATGAGCTTGAACAAAACGATTTGCTGTTTCGCAGGCATCACGAACACGGAGTTTTGATAGAAGGTACGGCGAAATAATACTAAAGGAGAAGTTTGGGGTCTCGCAAGATCTCAAATTGGCAGGTGGAAGTACGAAGAGGATTTTGGAAAGGCCTCACGTTCGAAACTAGGAGGAACAGCAGCTCACTAAAATTACACTGACGGTGCTGTACTGAGAACAAATGCCTGATAGCCAATGACGACCACATCCTTCTCGAAAAATAATGGCACATAACTTTTTAACATTGGTAAAGAGCATGCTGTCTAAAGTGTTATAAAATTATCTTTTCATTAGTCTAAAGGTTAGGGGATTTTGGAAAATAGCCCTAGTCCCTTTAATAAGATCTTTTTCTTTACAAAAAGCAATAAATGCTGCTATGAATCAGATTATGCATAGGAATGGAATCAAGAAAGTTTGTAACAACAATAAAATAAGGAGATATGGAGAATATTATCATCTTGTTTCCTTGTTTTTGAGGACTTTGCAATTTATTTGAAAGATGCTTAAATTTGCGAGAATTCACGCTGCCTAGTTGATTCGTCGTTTGCAGTGTGGTTCGTTAGTTCGCTGAGCAACTTTCTCAGAGTAAATTTACATTGTCATGGATTGGCAGCTGAAGTGCTTAGCATTCTGTTCTTGGTAGACGAGGAATATCTTAGAAGACAACATCTAGCGCAGTGGAATACGGCGTTGTTCGTGAGATAACCACTATTAGATCTACCGTGATTGGTGAAAGTACAAAACGATAAAGTGTTCATCGCTGATCAATCGCCTACGGATGCTATGCATGTTTGACTCTATAATCGTAGCGATGACTGAATGAATATTTTGTTTATACAATTTCTTGTGGGCGTCAGCCGACTTAGTGCTTTTCGTCCTCCAAACAAAACAATTTGTATTTCCGGCTAACGCTTCGACGTCTTCGTCTTCCTCAGAGCCGATGATCCGAGTCAATGGTCCTCGCTTGTTATTCGCCTCGACGTGGCAGCTTCGCCTTCGTGTCGAGTTAGGTCTTCTTCAGTGAGCCATCTCCTCGAATGAGGCATCCTTACTCAGTGATGCCCTTTTATACACGATGCTGATGGTCGATATAATGATAATGCCCGGTGATAACAACTTGTTTTTCTTCCGGACATACATCATTGCGCACATCATGCAGAAGTCGGTGTTGTTATCAGCTAGCACAAAGCTTAGTAATATTTCGAAACCGACTTTCCCTGAACCTCGGTATCACTAATCAATATGTATTCTTCCCATACCAGAAGGCTTCGTTAGACGAGCAGTCGGATGGAACCGATGACCGCGTGCGCCCAAGGGTATCTTTGAACTGTGCTATATGATTTCCACCTAAACTACTAGAACAAGGAGTTTCAAAAAAAGTCGAATCTATGCATCTATTACAAGCAAGCATTTTCTTGCACCGACCGGATACCTCATTTAATATTTCTGCAAAGTTGTACGTGTAAATCTGAAACCTGTGCTGTGATAAGGTGGCTCAGCGTCAGAAATCTCCTTATCTTAATAATAGCATCAGAGAGAAACTAACTGAAGCAGAATCATTTCAGCGTGTCTTATGTTGGATCATCCGACTCTCGGTGTCCACTACACATGCCACAACAAATTGCAGAAGGACGGTTTCTGCAGAGAGAAGACCTCGAAGTCGGGTGTATTGGTTAAGATCTGTGGCTGCAACTCGGACGACTTCTGCAACTACTCGTATTGGCCTGACAAGTTGGTGAACATGCGTTTTATTTTGGAGATTAGCCCTCATTGTAAATCAATATCAGCTTCTTTTTTGATCAGATTAAGGATGTGTGCAATGATAAAAGTGGATGATAGATTAAATACGTTCAATGACTAAATGCACAGAACGATTTTGCGACAAAGACGTTGTTTGAACCTTTAAGCAAGGGAATCATTTCTGCCTGAATTATGTCTTTTTTACGACTTTCGGAAAACATAGCGATAAGAGATGAAGATGATCCGTTGAAGGATATCAGGAAAGAACACAAAATCTTTTTGCAAACGCACTTTTCTGAAGTTTTCATTCATACCCAAACTCTCGGCTGTTTTCTCCTTTGTTTTTTTCAGTTTTACCTAGCTATAGTGTATGTACCCGTGAGATCCAGTGGTTTCCAGAAATGCAGAGCAACCAATTTCAGGCGTAGTCAAAGTGAAGTGAATTACTGACTTCCCTGCCACGTCGGCAATTACTGGGTTGTCAAAGAATAATCGCCATTCTTAATAATCTTCATCTTCCAACCTTCATAAAACAGCTGCTACCAAGTTTTTAATTCGGAATGAAAGTCATTAGAATCTGCCACAAAGACGTAACCTCATTTAACCAACCACGGAATTTCCTAGCCTAGTAGGTGGGATTGGGTTATCTTCGATTCTCGTCGTCTCAGTGCCTTCCACTTCTACTCAGCAAATGCCACGTTGACGACCAAATTCGTTGGATTTATGTCAATGTCTAAAGCTGTAGAAAAAACGATCGAGTTAGATTTCCCTTATTTCTCTTCGAATGGTCTAATTTTACTAAAGATTAGTGCAAAGTCAAAAAGAAGGCTAAAAAGTAGGAGTTCCGCAAAGTAGACAGCGTAAAATAAGATACACTTGTAGCATTTTAGTCCCCTGTAATTCTGTTGATAATCGAAAAACGCGATCGGGCACCAACAGACTCTTGCTGTCGTGCATGAGAACTGAGTTTCCCAGAACGAAAAGATAATCACCCGGACTTAATATGGTGTGGGTCTGTGTTTAGCTGGGTCTTGAAAAAAAAAACGAGTTCTTTTCAAGCTTCCTTGATTCTATTGGAGGATTAAGTGCTCTACCTTGCCTTTTAACCACTAGAAACATGCCACAACCACGCTATTATGGGCAGTTGTTGGTAAAAAGAATTCAGACGCATAGAACTCTCATTGTTTTTTCTGATGTGCAGAAACGAGGGTGTTATTACACTATTTATCCACAATAGCAGCTGTTCCATGGACTTCTTCTTTTTAGAGCTCGGAAAAGTCAAATTGACGTACAATACACACGGTCAAACACTTTCATAACCTCGGCTGATAAAACCAGGGTTACTGAAATATGAGCAAAATTCGGAAACTCAGTTTCGCTCTGAGGCAACGTTTACTCCTACCGAGGGCATACGAGCTATCCACCATACTAACCAAGATGCTTGCTTTGTCTTTCTGTCAGTCATCTCGTCATTTATGTTGACGGATGAATGCTGTTAGCACCGATAGAGTAAAAACATGACTGAGAGAACGCAAAGCAGTAGTCTTGGTTGGTGTGGTGTATAGCACCTGAGCCCTTGGTAAGGGAAATCACGGGTTAGTGGCCCCACTGAGGTCTCGAGTTTCGCTCATTTCTCAATGTTCTTTTAGTACATAAATTCAGTTCTCATTGTCACTATAAACACTCTCCGTCTTCATTATTTTCTTGATAAGCACATATCTTACTGCAATTGTTGTTATATTCTTTTTCTAACAGCAACCAAATTTTCTGCGAATTTCGCCTTTTACAGAGCTTAGAAAGGTCATGTAAACGGCAATATAGCCAACCAAGCACCCGTGACTCTGACAAAGAAACTACGGAGCCGAAATTTCAATCGTGTTGAAAACGAAACAACTTCGCACACTCACAACTTTCTATTAATCTTCTACTGAGTATTCCTCGTGGAGATCAACTGCACAGAGTTTACATGGATTTCCTCTCACATTGAACTAGCAGTTTGAGATAATGTGTGGGATTACGCGTGATACCAAGGCATTCCTCTCTACGGTTCATTTTCGGATTCTTGGAGTTTATCCAGAATGCTTCAGGGTTCTGCGTATTGAAGTTTTCGATTTCAATGTGAGCATGCCAACTTTTACTTCGAAATCTTCTTCATTTTATATACGCATACCTAGTGGAAACATTATAAACAAATTGGAAACCAAAGTAGATTTGGAAACCAAATTTTTTACGAATATGAGTGCAAAAACTGAGCAATTGGCCAATCGAGCAATGAGCAGTTGAAAATGAGTACAGTAATCTGTCTGTGGTCTCCAGCTCTGTATTTCTGTTTTTATTCGTATTGGTTTTTAAGTTCCTGCGTTCTTTATTGCCGGGCTTGGGTTTGTTAGTATTGTTAACTTGCATTTGTTTCACAGCGGTTGACGTTTCGATGGGCTGTCGTTTTTCAAAAGAACCTGAAAGTTTGGAGTTGGCAGGCAGTGGAATGGGTTAGTTATTCACCTAACATCGCAATAAAGTCCTTAGCCGAAACTTCCATCATATGTGAAAGAGTTTTGCTAACGTAGGTGATCTTTTGTTTTCTTTGCCTTTATTGACTTTCCAGGTTAGAACTGGAATATGTACTTCAGCGCAGTTTTCATCTTTGTATATGGAAGCTTTACTTTTAACCTCTTCATAAGCCTCATTGATGAATGGCGTAACTGTTCGTTCTCGACTTGTTATATCGCCTTTTATTTTTTGGTTGACTAGTCACAGCAATCGTTATGGAAGAATTCTTCTTGTGAGGCAATAAGGCTCCCTCCGATCCACAAGGGTCGAAGGATTCCTTCGGTGAAGAACATTCTAGCTCTGCTATCTCAATGTGTTACGTATGACCACGTCCGCTAAGGATCCTACAGCTAAGTGAGGATAGAAAACGCGCAGCAACCGGTTCCAAGAACTAATTTGAACGCCTCTATAACGAATGAAGACTACGACACAACGAAATAAGTAGTAAAAATGTTAGGGTGCAGATGATAAGTATGGACAGAATGTCTAAGAATCTAATTCTTGTGCCTTGTAATTGAAGGCCTAATCTCATTAGTATTGTTGCTCTTGAAATTTTTTTTATAGTGACTAACATGAAAGCTGGTTTCTAGAAAGTATACATGGTTAAATAGAAAAGGTAGTCAATTTGGAACATTCGACCAAATAACGGAGCAGTGCATGTTGGCCACTTTTCAGTGCTTGCTACTGGTTGATGCGACAGGGTCGAGTAGCCGAATTTGGTTACCTCTCTGCCCTCGAAATCGCCTCCAACAATGACATTAAAGTTCCTAAGCCGTTATCAATGCTGCTGCGAGTACGTTTCACTAGGAGTATGCAGAATTCAGCTCTTTTCCCGATTAATAACCACCATCTTCTAAGGCCTGCCAATAACATTCCTATCCTCGACTAGCTTTATGGTTAGTGCAATTAAAGCCTGACGAAAAATCCCTACCACCAGGACAATGAAGGAATTGTCTAGCATAGTGCCTATTGGAGGTGAACTTTATTAAAACTCATACAATTTGATGAAATAGCTCGCAAGTTCGGCGAATTGTGACCACTTCGACAATGTCGAAGATCTCCCATGCTTTGGTGCGTTTCTATTCCCAATATTTCTTGCATTGTTCAACCATAGAGGTGACCAGTTCCGTTTGAGCTCGGAGTCTGTGCTTCTCTCATTGAAATATTGAATCTTGGTGGAGCGCTGTCTTCCCTACAACGTCGAGTCAACCATGCTACCAAGTTTTCGCCAGACTCAGTCACCCGCCGTTGTCGATCAGAGGGAGTGTGCTGTCTAGCGAGTCGGATTTTTCCGATGATTGCGAAGATTCTTATGAAGGCAGCAAATTCTACAATTAGCCGTCAAACTACTGGATGATAACGCAATCAGCTAAATCGAAATACGTTTAGGCCTTAGGTTTGGAGGTTTAGAATTAACGATCTTAATCCTTATCTTTATCTCTCTTTCTTAGATTTAGCGCAATGTCATACGGTGGATTGTATTCCCCATTTGCGTCATTTTTCTGGGTCTGATAGCGAAATAGAGTTCTGTCTTACCATTTGTTAACCAATTACTGTAGTCGTTTTGTTATTTGTCTTTGAACGTTGAAGAGACGAAGATAAATCGACCAGTGGTGTTTTCTTTTTTGTTCTTAGCGAAAGTGAATCGATAAATTGTTGCCTTTCTTCTTCTACATGCTTCTAGAAAAAAGAGACCTAAGTGGGAGCTGTAGATGTTAGAGAAACAAGATTCAAAAAATAAATGTTCACCAGACGAACTCTATGGATGTTCTGTATGATGTGTCGAGGAGCTTCGAGGGTTTTATGAGAAATCATTGAAACGAGGAAGTTCGTAAATCCACGAAAAACAACAAAATCTATCCATGAATAACGAAAACTCATTAGTAAAAATGGGCCTGTACTCAGGGCTTTTTTGATTATCAACTGCCTAGAAGCAAACTATTTTTGTTACTAAGAAAGCAAATTAGCAACTCGAATTGGGTTCCTCTGTTCTGAAAAAAGAATGGTAAGGCTTATGGAGACCGTTAAATGGAATCTCAGCAGCATCAGTTCCTTGTTTGTGTAGATTCTAAAAGTCACATTTTGCCGTGGTTTCCTTAGAAAAAAGAGTCTCCCTGGTTTAATATAAAGCCATTTCTCTGTGAAATGTTATCAGTTTTCGGACGACTACAAGTGAAAGTATACTGAAAGAGAATTGCACCTGATGGATTCCCCTGAACACCGGAAACAGAAATTGATAGCCGAGATGGCCTACAGGGCGCAAGGGGTTGAATTTCATAGGTAAATGGGCGTCTTTTTTCTCGTGGTTTTGTTTTCTTTCACGTCTGAATTGAGATTCTGGGCATGAAATTTGATAGTGATCGATTATGAGGTAAGAGTTCTAAACAAAGCTTCAACTCTAGGGGAACCAACACTGATGGTCTCTTTCTTTAAGATCGACCAATATTGTACGTTATTAAGCCAATATTTGAGAAAACGACAAACAGCAACTTGTATAGGAGACAACGTGTCGATAAATATTTCCATGTTTCTTAAGAACAATTTCTTTAAGTCTACGATTCACATTGTATT